AAAAAAAAAAGTCTGCACTCAGATATCTCCCAAATGTCAGCAAGGTTAGGCAGAAACTCCCCTGTCCCAAACACTCTCCACCAGCAACCGTGATTCGACTGAACTAGTTACCTGACAGCTGCCATCTCTCCTTGAACCCAATGAAAAACTTTGTTTAATGAGGCTACAGGAGACATTGAAGTGGTATTAAAGGCCTGCCTGGCCTGGCAGACAGACAGCAAACCTGCTACCTCTCCGCATATCATCTGCAAAGAATAAAATTCACCTGTGAGTCCAAAAGAACTGAGTAGCAGACAGGAGGGAGAGCAGGATTTCATGGGAATGCTGGGGCCTGCTTGTGTTTTTTTTTCCCTGAGGTTTTACATTTCTTTGCCCTGAAGCTTGTCCTCTCCCCACAGTGTAATAGCCCTTGTCACTGGAGCTCAACTGCAGTCCATTTTCTGGTCCAAATCTGTGAAATTTGGCACCCCAGAAAATTAGAAGTGCAACAGTGCTGAGGGGTGACTTAATGCCTGTCGGACCAAGCTGCCTGAGCTGCTGCTTTGTCTGGAGCAAGGTGGTTTGCTCTGGCTGGGCCTGCAGGCAGGGAACACACCCAATAGCCGTAAACTAACTCCTAATTGAATTCCCAAACTCCCTGTGAGCTAGCAGGGCAATGCCAGTGGAAACTGGGAGCAGGAGAGGACAGACAAATGGTATTGCTCTCATCCAAAAACTGGACTTCAGGTGTCTTGGATTGCATGCTGGGTGACCCAAAAGGTCTGCAGGGCTTGCAAACGCTGTGCTGCGTGAGCAGAAGAAAATCTACTATGGTTAAATGTTCCCTTCTCCAGTGTTAGCCTCAGGAGGGCATTTGTTTTATTCTTGATGGTGGGGCAATGTATTGATTAATGCCACCATTTATAAAGATTTTTTGTGATGAATGTGACAGTCAGAAAAATGGCTACGCAGGTCAGTTAACCTGCACCAGGGATGTACAGCAGACGCCCTTTGAAAAGCACCGTAAGGGAGACAGGGGCAGCAGGATAAGGGACTGAGGAGCGCTGGGCAGCAGGACCAGGCCCTGGTGCCGAGAGACCACGTGCCGGTCCCAGGCGATGGCAGCCATTTTGGGGCACTTTCTGGCAGCCATTTGGTCAAGGGCCAGTTGCCAGCCCTGGGGTCAGGCACGCTGTGGAGCCGCGTGTTTGCCATCTGCTTTGCTTTCCCCGCGTGGGTGCGTTTTCATTTCTGAGGGAAAAAATGATGGTCTTAGCTAAAAATTAACCATGTGGGCTCATCGCAGCTGTTTGTAGATAGAAGGAAAAACCCTGTATAACCTTGCTGACCAGGGGCGCTTTGGCTGGGGCTGCCTCCCAGGATGAGGGAAGCAGCAGGCACTGCTTGCATTTTCTCAGCCTTTACGCCCCAAAGTATTACAAATATATTCTGCTATTTCTTGCTCAGTAGGATTTTACATGCTCTTGAACGTTAACTTGCTTGTAAGAGCCCAGCTAAGGCAGTAGCTCTTATTTTTGACTGTCCAAATTCCCTTTTTTTTTCCCCTGTGATATTTGCTTCTGCTGGGCTGAGGCTTTTGCGCAGCTGTTTTGTCGGCCCTGAGCTCTTTGACAAACAAGGTAATATCTTTATCATTTCCAGGATGGAGGTTCCTGAAGATTACCAGCTTGGATTTCTAAACCTCTTAAGCGTATACTGACATGAAATCAGTATACTTAAAGGCAATTTACTGACAAAAATTCTGCATTCTTTGAAATACATCTACCCCTTATGTCAGTATTGTGTTTTGCGTAAAAAAAAATGCAGAACACTACCACAACCCATCTCCATTGTCTGGAAAAGCACTTTTTTTGTGAAATCTCCCTATTATGAGAGGATAAGGAGATATGGATACGAGGCAGCGTAACAGGTGGTGGGACATGGACTTTGTTCTGGAGAACACAGCTGAAGGCTAAAGTCCCTCAAAAGCAGAGGCAGAGGATTGGGATAACTCCGACCCTGTGCCTCTCATCTGAGCAGGTGATGACTTTTTTTTTTTTTTTTTTTAACCTCAGAGGTCAATCCTTTGGGACACCTTTGGTCTCTCTTCAGAGCTAGGCAGAGACCACCCAGACCAGCAAGAGGGCAGTGTGCAATTTTGTCATCCCCAAGCACGCACAACTTGTAAACGGATTTAATGGTGTGTTTCTTTCCCTTCCAGAAACATCTTAACTTTGAAAATGCTTGAAAACCCTTGACTCAAAGAGAGGGGAAGGGGGCTTTAAAATAAATCCGAGAGCCTTGGCTCTCACATAAAATGGTACTGACAAGTCTCTCAAACCCCAGCATAAGGTTTTTAAACACCCGCAGACAGGACTGCATTGACTTTAGAAGCAAATTTCTGTAATCAGTATAAAAATGGTACTTAAGATACCCAATTTAAAACTGTTTTGTTAAGCCATAGGGTCATGTTGGCAGAGTTAATACATGTAGCTGTCATTTGCAGCATATGCAAGTGCCTGCTTCCCTTGTTCCAAGTTGTTTTTTTGTTTTGTTCTTTTTTGTTGTATTTTTTTCTTTATTTTTTTTTCTTTTATCCTTACCTTGTGAGGCTTATTAGCTACTTGGCCTCAGTGATGATTGATTGTGGATGCCACCACTTAAAGCAATAAACTATTGATAGCTGATGCAGGTACTGAGAAGACTTTTTTTATTTTCTGAAGGAGAACAGAACATAGACTTAAGAAAAATGAAGAAATACAGTGTAGGATCAAAACCTAGACAGTTAAATGTATTTTCTGGTGACAGAACAAAAATCCCTATCGTTATGGATCCTTTGCGTATAAATAGAGCACGTTCCTAAACGGAATATACTGCATTAATTCTCCCTTCTTCCTCCTCCCTCAAAAAAGTAGTAATCAGTCAGTATAAAGCAGTTTAGACGCTAAGTTAAACAGTTTTATACTAACAGATGATGGGGCCAGTTTCTCTGTACACTATTGCACCTAAATTATCTAACCTACTTAACTCTATACCTAATTAAGGAGATGAAAAAATCCTATTGAGGTCAAAGAAGCTACTGATGTGACAGAAGAAGATGCACGCTTAAATTCTTTTTGGAGTTTAGATCCCAAAGCTTAATTCCATCCTCATTCTCCAAAGCATTTAGGCAACTTTAGGTGCTGGCTTAAATCAATAGGATTAGATGCTCATGTGAAGTTAGCCATGAATTTAAATGCCTTGTTAAATAGGAAAATACTCATGAAATGGATTAGCTATGGTTGAAATTTTGTAACTATTATCTAGGATTTTTTTAAGGATCTGAAGTATGCTATTTTTTCCATTAATTTCAAAACATCCTCTAGACAAGAGAAAATATTTTCAGTTTTAATTTTTCATCTCACTTCCTTACCTTCTGCCATCTTCTTCCCACGAGAGAAAAAAAAATGTCTTAGGAAATTCTTTTTTCCCTCATTCTAGAAGCTAGCAGGAAAGGGGAACATCAAGTTTTAAGTTCCTGATTAAAAATAATAATTATAAAAAAGAAGAAATAATTTAATGCAAAAACAAAAGAAAAACCTCAAGCAAAAGTGCTGAACACAAGAATTGAAGGTTTTCATTTTGTGCACAAAGAACTCTGTGGTAACTCAGGATCCTAACATGAATGTCTGCAACTTTATACCACTTTCAGTGTTTTGGTTGTCATTGCTTTAAGATAAACACATATTTCAAATCAAAGGACAAGAGAAGAAACAAGCCAACATTTGTATTAAGAAACATTTTTATTAACAAAACAGTAAATTCCACTTGCTTAGCATTTCCAATAATGAATAAATTGGCCTTGCAACAAATAAAAAAATCGTAAATATCTATCACAGAAAGCACTATAAGGTTAGGGGCATTGGGCCTCTCTTCAATGTCTTAGGTTTGAAATAGTTCCACACGTTATTTAGTGTTCTGTTAAAAAAGGCAACACAATACAGTCATAGAAAGGAAGCCATCTCAGTCAAACAAATTAGTTATTATAGAGAAAGGATCCAATTTTCTATTAGGTAGTTGTTTTATGGTTGTTTGTTCTTAAAACACAAAGGATCTGTAATCCACTTACTGGTACTTCCAAAATGTCCATATTTGTTTTGTGTTTAGTGAAATTAAAGAGAAAAAGGAGAACCTTCAGAAACAGTATTAAAAGTGTGTTTGCTTATTATAGTAGTAGCAGATCTTTTTTTCCTAGATGTATGGATTTAGTTAAAAGATTAATCTACCAAACTGCCTGGAAGTTGACCTGACCATGCTACTTCATTAATACAATCAATATCAAGCTGAAAAGACCATTTCATCTTGCCCAAACCAAACTCATGTTGAGACATGTATTCTTGATCTTCCATATAACTTTAAACACTGATATCCTTTAACTCTGAGCATCACTTGGCTTTCAACTTCGTCTTCTCCCCCTCTAGATGCACTCTCAAGCTTTCCTCAATGGCCTCTGTTTATCTGATCCTACCTCTCCCTGAGTACAGCTGTCTTGTAAAGGTGGGAGAAACCATGAATACCACAAGTGAATAATGGTCTAAGAAATGAATTTGGGATGGATTTTGTGGATGTGGTCTCATTTTTCTGTAAATGTTTAATGAAAAAAAAATGCTTCTACACACCTTGATGTGTTGTTTGTCAGCCTCCAAGTGAAGTGTTTTCATGTCAGCTACATGTATTTTTAAAGTGCTCTGACGCTCAGATAGATAGCTGTGCCCATTTTAAGCATTGCTCATTAGCTACAGTGAATAACATACAACGAAATGTGTTGTGTCTGATGTTTAAAGCTAATTTATATTCCTTCTTCCTGCCTGTAAAGTGTGAACATCCATATTCCTCCCAGGAGGTCTCACAATGATCTGGTTGATTTCTATTGAGCTACCCTCTGTCTAATATATTCCCCTCGAACTTCCATGTAAATGAAATGTTATGCTATGAATTATTGCTGTGAACTTAATGGAACAATACTAAAATAACTTAATGTGTAAATTATAGCATTATATGTAGTATGTGTAACTAAAATACATTAAAATTTTATATATGTAAGAAAAAAGCTATGTGTTACATTAAAATATGATCAACTTATATTAGTCTGGTTATGATGTCTTGCAATATCACACAATCGGGTTAGTTAAAAATACTTTTTCAGATGTCAAAATGCCCACCCCTGAACCATATTACCATGCACCTCAAGTTTACTTGCTTTTTGGAGAAAAGGGTAAATTCTGCAGTAAAATGGGCCTCGGTAACTGATTACTGGTTTTTTCATATATATCTTACCACTCACTGCTGTAGCAGCTCTCATTCATGTAACGGAATCCCGCATAAACACTGTATGACCCTTCCTAGGATTCTCAAGAAATTATTTGTTTTCATAATTTCTTCAGAACAAGGTTTCTGTAAGGCAAACCATGCTCTCCATTAGTGAAGCTTTGACTGGAAGCCAAAGGCCACTTCAAGTCACTAAATATTTAGCCAATTAATGAGTATAAATTTCTAGGAAAATTGGCCATTCTGATCAACTTCGTTGATGCATATCAGGAGCAAGAGATAGGGGTAGGAGAGAGAAGAGAAATTACAGTAGATACATATTTTTGCTTTCTAGTCCACTTCTTTCATACAAACTACTAAAACTTAATTGCAACAGAATAGAGGCTGTACACGTAAGAAAAAAATTAGCTGACTCTTATATACATTCATAGACATCCCCCTTTGGATAACCACTACACTGTAAATTAAAAAAAAAAAAAAGGGAAAGAAAAAAGAAAAAATTGGTGACAATTTATAATGGCTGCAAAAAACTGAAGTATGTCTGTTGCTCCAGATGTCATAAAACTCTCTATACCTAGCAACACTTATAACATTGAGTTTACCAAAAATGGCTGAAGAGCAGATATAGTTTGCATTTTCTATACAACAGGCTATAAAACATCACTTATCACAGTCCAGAAAGCACATATAGATGTGTTTTTATATAAACATATGTAATAACATATTAAGCGTGCATGAAAATTTCCCAATGATTGCATCTATGCCCTCTTGTTTTTGTTTCTTTGTTTTTTGTTGGTTTTTGATTTTTTTGTGGAAATGTGCCTTATATTCCATGTTTTTGTTTTTGAAAATAAGGCCTCCATACTATTTTCCTCACAACCAGAAAGGGGCTTTTTGAAAGTACTTCTATGCCAGTCTTCAGAAAAGCCAGCACTTGGATTCAAATGCAAGTTTCCAATCACTGCTTCACTGCACCAGACGGTAAACTCGTTATGTTTGCTTGTTGAGTCACCATATATAATGACAGTCTTCTCTGACAATAAGACTAATTTACTTCTAGCACTTTGGCTAAATCCAGAATCATAGGTAGCTTCTTTTTTTTTCGTATTTTTCCTGTTTTGTTTTATTTATTTATTTATTTGTTTTGTTTCATATTGTGCCTTGATGTTGTAGTAATACTCCTTGCTTTATGAATGCGTGGTGTCATCATTGTCTTTCAGAAATGTTCCAGCAACATAAAGACAGGCAGAGTAAATGAAAACACTGTGGATGTTAGGGAATTTATCAGCTCCTGTTTCTGAAAAACATGAGCATAAGATGCTTGTTTTTAAAAACAGTCTTTCCTTTCTGATTGCATTCCCTGTCTTTTTTGTTTGTTTTGTATGTGCTTCATAGAAAGTAAAGTAAGTAAGTTTGTATTATGTCTCAGATAAAATGAAGACTACTTCTATACAAGCGTTCTTTTAGATGTTGAGATCAGACATAGTACTCCTTATCCTTATTTTTCTTGTTTTTATTGGAGCTTTTAGCACTGTTGGGCTGCTTCTCCTTGATCACAGCCCCATTGGATTGTGCTGAGTTACTGATGTAGTTTCGGCTCTCATCGACGTGATAGGATCCTTCGTCTCGGTTCCTGTACTTGTACATGGCATACAGGAGAATGAGGATGCACAGTGCTGCCGCAGCCACGATACCAACTACCATGCCTGTTGTGCTGCTGGATTCACGGATCACCTCAGACGAGCCAGGGTACTCCCTTCCTCCTCCTGCCCTCGTAGGATTTGCTGTAGGTAGATAATGAAATAAGGGAGAGGTTATTACGGAGCTTGCACAGAGGAGTTACTCTTATCTACCCACTACGGATGTGCATCTTGCATATCACACTCGTGAGGTCAGGCCTGTCTATCAAAGCACGTCGCTCTAATGGTCCTAAAACATTCATGTTTGCCACTTGTTCCGTTTTCACGTCTGCTAGGGTAAGCAAACAGGCTTTTAAATGAGAAAAAGGAGAGCACGGAAAATTGCATTTTCACCTTCGAAAGTATCATTTGTCCAACTGTCATTACAAAGCAAAGAATGCCTAAATAACCTGCAATAACAGGTGTACCACAATTTGAATGCCAGGACACTGATTCGGGGAGGAAAGGAACGTTCTTGCTCCAATTTGACAACAGCAAGAGTTATTTTGTATGCTCAGGTAATGTAAAGCCATAGTATTTATTGAGACAGGAGTGATAATAAGATGAGTAAACAGGGTGAGGGTGGGGGGGGAAACAAATTGTCCCTTATACCAAATGCTAAACAGCCAGTAAGTTTGCTACAAATACTATATCCTCAGTTCTTTAGTCCTCCTTCGACAAGCCTGTCAATTTCTCCTCTACTCCTGATGATTTTTGCTTTTCTCAAATTAATTATATATACTTCTTTTTGTTTTGCAGTCCTACGCAACTCTACCATATCTTTTCTAATTCATGGATTCCTTCAGTAGGGCTATGCCCTTGATCAATTTTGCATTCAACATCTTTTATTTCCGCTTTTCTTCGTTAATGCCAATACTAGTCATTCCTTCAAGCAACAATTTATTCAGAGAAAAAGAAAGAAAGAAAGAAAGAAAGAAAGAAAAAGACCCTTCCAAATTATACTAAGCAAGGGCTCAGCTTTCCAAGAACTCACTTAGGACAGATTCTGTTTTACTCAGTTATGATATGAACTGAACTGACCCAAGCCTTAAGACTATAAAATTTTATTGATAAGGACTGCTGTGTTGTGTGAAACATTTTATCTCCTGACATGGCCATGAAGAGTAAAACAGAGTAAGAAATTCCGTGAGGAACTTCCAGGTCAAATGCTGGCAGCACACATAGTGCTTATAGAGCCATAACCTACTCCCTCTGCTGCAGGTATGTGTACAGAATCTCCTCCAGCAGGGATAGGAGAGATGGACCTTCTTATTTAACTTAGTGTCTTGGACAAAAACGAAGTGTTGGAACCCGTGCAATATTCCTATGATTATATCTGCATTTCCAAAATCCTAGAGGGTGTCTGTGCTCAGCATTCCCAGTCTGGCTGAGCTCAGGAGCAAGAAAGAGCAGTGCATGAACCCTAGGTTTCCCTCTGAGCAGTGCAGAGCACTACCATTGTTAAGCATCCAAGATGGCTCACAAAAACTGCCTTTTAAAGCATTAGGCATGGCTGAAAATTCTCTCGGTATAATATAAATGCTAACTGGGAGTATTATGAAATACTAGGATTAGCCTACATGCTTGAGGTGAGCTTTGTCAGGCCTCACCTACAAGCAGCATTTTAGAGAAATGTATTAATTGTTGGCAAACCTGTAGTTCAAGGTGCATGAAAGCATCCAGTGCCCCACAGTCACCTTTTTGTACTGTAAAGGACATGATGGGAAGGCAATGATTTTAAGGACCCATAATTAAAGGCAATGCCACACAAACCATAAAACCTGGTCAGATAATTGTAGAAAGTTTGGACAAACACAACGAAAAGCAGCCAGCAGACATCCACAATTGGTCAATGAATAATAAAACACAACAGCTGGGGAACCAAAAAGGACTTAGCTCCCTCACCACCTTGAAATTACTCATGATTTATTCATCGGTGATTTGTGTTCTTAGAGTTAAAGCACCACTTCTTGGCACTTACCCACATAGGTTTAAAGAACGTGGCATTTTATTTGGCTGAAAGATCAGAGGCATCACCGTAACACTCAAAAAAAACTGTCATTCATGTCAAATAGTATTTTAACCTTATATATTTTTCCCTGAAAGTTCTTAGCTGTTAGAAGTTGGTACAATTGGTCTATTCTACCACTACTCAAAATATCGTGAAATTTCACTTCAGAAGCCTCTTTTATTTTATTTTTTTAAGGTAGATGCTACCTAACTAGGAAATGGAATCTGTCTCAAAGTAGTCAATGACTATATTATATCTCGTTTCTTCATCGTAGCTATTGTAGAAAATGGAAATTCTTTTATGCATAAGGTGTCATTTATTGTTTTACAAGACACAGTGTACTGTTGCAGAATAAAGACTCCGGAGGATTTCTATAGTCAGAGAAAATGAGACAAAGTATTATCTTACTGTATGGGAATTCCAGAAATTAATTTCTGTCTGAGAAGTAATTGAAGCTACTGAATAAACTCTTTCAAGACAAAAGTCTTCTCTTTCTCTTTAAAATACAGACATCTGGGCCAAATGCTGACAACTAACTTTACTACTAATGTCCACTGAATCACACTTCGCTGCTTGCTTACGGGAAAACATTCTTTTAATAACTGAGTTGGCCTGAGATGCACATAAGCAGTATTTTTCAACATTACCTAAACTCTTGTCTTTCACCTGATGGCATCCTTTTTTTGTAAGAACATTTTCACAGTTATCTCATATATCCCATCTGTCTGAGGAAGATTCCACTGCTACCTCAATGTTATTAAATGTGCAACATTTTCAATGCACCTGTTTGGTAAGTTTGATACATTCGTTTGGTCTTTTGCGAAAAGAACAGTTCAGCAAGGGTTCCTTGCAAGGTTTCCTTCCAGAAAAACTTCCTGGTTTTTCTGTTATTTAACTTAAAACATGCCTTTAACCTAGCACGGCCTCCCAGGACACATGAAGAATAAGAAAATAAGAGGACATCTTTACAAAGCATATGGGTTTGTGAGTGACCATTTCAGGTATTTAATGCTCATGGAAACACATGCTATAAGCAAGTAGCACCTCATTCTCAGATGTAAGCTCTGGACAAAGGTCAGCCTATGTTTTCTCTGAAAAACCCACAAATAAACAAATCCACATGTTGTAACATCACTGAATCTGCTGCCTTTCACTGATTTGACAAAGACTGGGGTGCTCAAGGGATATCATACCCCTACCCACATCTCGCCTGCCAGCAGGAACAACAGACGATCTCAAGGGACAGACAGTGGCCAGTGTAAGACTGTAGAAATCCAAACTCTTTGAAAAACACCTAACGCAACTTTCTTTCCCAGCATCTTTGCAGCCGAAGCAGACAGAGCCACTGGCTCCTAGTCCAGCAGTGAAGCGGTGTCTGTGGGTGACCCTGGCTGCTATGCTGAAGGTAACTGCAGTCTCTGCTGGTGTCTGCAGCACCTGAAAGACACTAACTTCATCCCAGCTGAAGTTTCAGATTGCAGATGAGAAGCTAAATACCTTGGAGGCTAATCAAAATGCCCAATAATAAGAATCAAACACAACACCTGAAGCTATCTATACTAAGTTGAGGATGGTTCAGTGAGGAACAAGAGAAGATCATAAAGACTGTGATTATGCTCAGACCATACCATAATAGTGATAGGAAATAACTTGTCGCATAATGATCCATTCTTAAACCAACTGCTCTGACACTTGTTTAGAAGTCTTCCTTTTAACAGTGTTGACCAGACCTTCTGGATTGCCTCTAGAGACTGATTTTTTAAAATAAACTCTTCTACCACATAGGAAGAACTTTGCATGAAATAACAGCAATTGACCACAGCTCTGCACTGTGTAATAATGGAGTAGAAAGTTATTATTCTTGACTGTACTTCTAAGTGGCTTAAAATCTAACAGGGAAAAATCTGACTATTTTCAGTGCCCAGTTTTCATTAATACTGTGAAAAGAAAATTGGAACTGTAGGCTCCCATGGTGTTCGAGAATTGAAATTAGCAGACTTCAAATCAAAACAAAACAAAACAAAAAAAAACCAAAAAGACCCCAAACCTGTTTTCTTTACATTTATGCTTTCCCACAAACTGTGAATAGGAAATTAGCCACAAGACAAGAATGCTTAACTACTACATTTGCAATGAGACATGAAGGCAATTATTTACAAGACACGTATTAATTTTCACTCGGTGTGCTGTCATTGTAGACCTGCTTGTGGTCAACTTTCTGTAGCGTTGTTGGATTCTGGTGAGCTGGGTTTTGAGCTCACTGCAATTTCAGTGTGTTGCATTACAAAGAATATGTCTGAAATCAAACACATCTCAGAGCTTCCTCTGCCGATCTGACGGATTAGGCAGAGCCCAACTTAAAAAAAAAAAAAAAAAAAGACAACAGGGTAAAGTTCCGCCATGATCTTGTGCAAGAGGCTGAACTCAACCTCACGCTGGCTCTGAATGCAAGGGTATTGCAGCCTGCTCCTGCCCAGCTTCGACTGGCTCCTGAAGGGAGGCAGGGATGGGCTCCCTTGGGGTTGTTCAGCTGTGGCTGTGCTGTCATGGGAGGGAAGGGGTAGGAGACAATTCCACATGTGGCCACTATAGCTTAGTGACAACTGCCACCTGGCTTTTAAAAAAGAGAGGGGAACAATAACGGGACACGAGCGTGGTCTTGTGGACCTCCTGCCCCCCATGATTTCTGTCCTCGCAATGAGCAGTTAATGCATCTTCTCTTGCTCAGCTCTATATCCAAAGGCACAACCCAGTCCACCTGACAGAGTCCCCACAACACGAGCTGCACAGCTGTGCACACACATCAAGGCGTTTGGACACTGAGATGACAATGCAGCAACCAGTGGGACCAGAGGCTGCGCCCTGCACCTGTGTGTGCCTGAACACCCTACACACGTGTGTGGGGAAGGTGTGAGACCAAGAGCAGCGGCTTGTTTATGAGCTGCACTCACCATCTCAGACTCACACCATTACTCTTAAAAAACAAACAAACAAAAAATCCCCAAAAAAACCTGTCTGATGCTTTCCAGGCTTGAGGGAATAAGGCAACAACCTATCCATTTCAAATGCGTTTTTGAGAAAATTATTAGAGTAT